TGAGGTCCGAATTGAACTGGGTTTCTCAAACGGCCGCTATTATTACTGAAGCTTTGTCTTCTTCTAACCAGCCTGTAGGAGGAGACGAATTAGAAGCAGCAGCAGGAGGAGGAGGAGGAGGAGGAGGAGCGTTGGATGTTGTTGAGATTAAACCCAAAGTGGGAGGAGCCTCACCCGAGTCTGACCCCCCTCTGAAGGAGGAGGAAAAGGAGGAGGAGGCGCCCCCCCTCCCCAAAACTGACTGTCCCCCCCCTCATAGTGCCGGTACAGACTGCAGAGCAGAGAGTCCGTCCTGAGAGGAAAACAAAACCCAGTCCTCAGGCTCTCAGGATCAGGAGCCATTTTATTATTTTAAAAACATCTGATGGATTAGTTCCCAACCTGAGGCCACACAGGAAGTGAATTTTAGTTAATTTCTCCTCTTCAAATTAAAAAGAAAGGAAATGTTTTGGTTAAACTGCTTCTAGGAAACATGAATCTGAGCGTCATCTGCATTTAAAGTGATTTATTTTAGGAAGGAAGCCAAAACAACGGGAAGGTTTCCAATGAGTGAAACATGATTGATTGATTAATTATTAATCAGTAATTGATTAATAACTGATCAGTAATTGATGATCGGATAAATGATTGATAAGTTGTTGATCAGCCCTGATTCTGACAGACTGAAGCACAAACCTGATTTCTGTTTCAATCTGCTTTAATTTTGAAGAAAAGACTCTTTGAGAGCAGGAAGTGGACGGATGCCTTATCAATGATCCTTCAGAGACGCTCAGCAGCGGAGCCAGCTGATTGGTTGTGCAATATGACACCGTCATACCTCAGGCTCCGCCTCCTACCTTCAATGTGATTCGTTCTGGTGGTGCGTTCAGGTTCCCCTCGTCAGCTTGTAAATGTCAATCTGTTTGCTTCTGTCGTCACGTCGTCACAGCTTAAGGCAAATACACACAACTCCTGTGGTTCAGTCTTGGGTCCCTGAACGCACCATGAGCTGGGGTACCTGAACGCACAGCAGGCTGTTGTGAAGGAGGCGGAGCCTGCAGTGTGACATCACAGGAACTGAACAAAGTGATGTGGGGGGGGTATTTTTCTTCTTCGTGCCTCTGCTGGATGACTGTAGCCTCGTTAGCTGATCTGAAGCCTGAAACTCATCAAACTGTATTTAACTGTCCAGTAAACCAGTGCAGCTGTTTGCACACAGACGTGGGTTGTTGTTGTTTTTGTTCTAACTATTATTTCTGTCTGTATTGAAGCCTCAGATAGTTAATGAGGTTGATGGTGTGCTAAGAGTTTATTTGACAGATTTTTTTCAGACAAATGTGACCATCATTATAAATCAACTAAAAGAAAAGAATCCTTATCAAAGTTTTGATATTTTGAAGTTGGAATATTACAATAAATTAATATTTAAAGGTTTCAATATACAAACTTTTTTCAAGGGTCTTTGTTCTGGAATTTCTTTTGGACTAAATATTTAAAACTTTCTTTAAAAAAAACTTTTTAACACTTTTCACAATTACACAACTTTTCTAAAACTATGAAGTCATACTATAATAATTAATAAAAAGGTCAAAGATTCATATATTATATTTTATAAAACAATATACTATAACTTTAAAAGTTGTAGTTTCATAGTATAGTATGTGATGAGAAGAGATAGGCAGTCAAAAAGTCAGTCAGTATAAAGTTTGTGTAATAAGTAATAAAAAGGCAGAGTATAACATGCAAAAAAAAAATCGAAAAGTTGTATTTAAATTAGTAAAATATGTCTTAAGAATTAGTGAAAAGTGAAAGTTGAATTTGATAAAAAAAAAAAGTTATTGTATGTCAAAAATAAATTCAATGGATGAGTAACACATGCGTCACTTCCGGGCAAAAAATGACGGCTCCGCCCACTGTTGGGGGAAAACAAAGCTGTCATTTGAATGGCGGTCAATACAAATTCTGAAGTTTTTGCCAATCCGATCAGAAATGTAAGAAAACCGTGGATTTTTGGATCTTCAAAGAGCCCGATTACGATGGCCAGACAGGCAAATATTATATTATTTTCCGCCTCGCTCATGAGAGTAACAGCTGGCGAAATGACGGCCTCGCCTACTGATTTTAATTTAACCATAGCCCGATCGTCGATTTCAAATGATTTAATGTAATTGTTTGCCTGTCTGGCCATCGTCATCGGGCTCTTTGAAGGTCCAAACATCCACGGTTTTCTTACATTTCTGATCGGATTCGTAAAAACTTCAGAATTTGTATTGACCGCCATTCAAATGACAAAGTTGTTTTCCCCTAAAAGTGGGCGGGGCCGTACTTTTAGCCCGGAAGTGACGTAGGTGTTACTTTCATGCATAGGTGCTTTCACACCGGAGTACTTTTCCCAGGAATAGTTCCGATAGTTCCTGGGATTTTGCGTTCACACCAAAAATATCTGGATCTGGAACTTTTTTTCGGGAACCTTTTCAGTCCCTGCTAGAGAGGTGGGACTTTCCTGGGGAGGAAAAGGTTCCAATTTCTGATACATAATTGATCAGGTAAATGGTTGATCATTAGGCGCTTTCACACCAAGTACTTTTCCCAGGAATAGTTGCCGGAAATGTTTAGTTCCGGAACTGTCCTAGCAGATCGCGTTCACACCGGAATAAGTTCCCTGAGGGAGGATTACGCAAATGAAGCCGATGGCGTCACTTCTTCTGCTTTGGGTTTACTGGCAGGCCGCAAACCACTTCACGGCGTATACTGCCACCCGGAGTCCGAAATTAGAAAAGGTTCGCAAAAAAAAGTTCTAGTTCCAGATCTTTTTTGGTGTGAACGCAAAATCCCAGGAACTATCGGAACTATTCCTGGGAAAAGTCGGTGTGAAAGCGCCTAAAATAAATAAAAGTCACTAAAATATGTCATAAAAAAAACTTAATTTGAAAACGGGTGGAAACAGTTTCTCAAACTGGACAAACCTCAGGGACAAGAGGAGTGAGACGCTGGAGGACGGAGGAAGGTAAAGGGAGGATGAAATGAGACAGGTGTGTGTAGTCTGGAGGCAGCAGGTGAGTGGATATGGTTTTGCAGCACATGAAACACTTCAGATAAAAAGACAAACGTATCACAATTATATTTAATTTATCGTGATTATATTTAATATCTGAACTTAAAACACTTTCATCATGTGTTGTATATAAAATGTTAGAAAGAACAAGACTCTTAGTTTGGCGACACTCTCATTTCCTTTTTAATTTCTTTCTAAAAAATATGTGAATATCAACATGAACAGAAACATCAGGAGTTTAACATCGGCAGCGTCACATTTCACAAAAACAGACGGGTCAGTGAACGCCTCACAGAAACACCTGGTTCAAATGAATATTTCTGCGTCTCTAATTTCATTGTGTCAAGGATGTGGCTAGCTTAGTTTAGCCTCCTTTATAGTAGTTATTTTATAGCCCAACATTATCCACCTTTAGCTTAGCGGTGGTGACGTGAAGTCATGTGACCGTGCTGCAGTTCCTTCAGTGGCGAGCCGTCAGGGCCCTCTAGGATATTCTACAAAATAATATTTAAATTTCCAAAGAAATAAATCCTTTGAATCTGCCTATTCAGTTTATGTTGGAATGTGAAGGGTTAAATGAAAGAAGCTCGTCTTCGAGTTACTGTGAAGATAGGAGCTGATTGGTGGTCCAGCTATGAATTCACAGAGGGCCCGCTACAGTAACTGAAAGAGAGAGTAATGTCAAATGACAGTACAATTGACCAATCATATCTTTCTAAATGGGTTTTATCATCGCGAACTTTATGAGGAGTTCTGCCTGCTGTGAAGCTTTTCTTGTTTCCATAGCAACAACAACTTCCTGTCAACAGCGTAAACTCGCCTTCAAAATAAAAGCATGTCCATACAAAATAGGAAGCCAAGCCAAATTACACTTAAGACATATAAACAACTGCAACGAAAGTAAGAAACACAATGCAATATCCTTTTCTATTTCAAAAAACACAAATTGGGTTATTTACAGGTATTGTTTTGTGTGGTAGAGGGTCGCTTTCATTGATGCGTTTTGCACCCTGGGCCGTTGTTTTGATATTCCGCTGAAGTATACGCTCTGACGTAATAACTCTTTTATTTATTTTTTCCGAGGTAAGGGGTGGGGGTCAGAGGGCCTAGGTATAAAAGTCACGGCTCGCCACTGAGTTCCTTTATAGCCATACAGTCTATGTTTATAGCCCAGCATTAGCCACCTGTAGCTTAGCGGTGTTGATGTGAAGTCATGTGACCATGCTGTAGTTCCTTTATAGCCCAATATTAGCCACCTTTAGCTTAGCGGTGTTGACGTGAAGTCATGTGACCATGCTGTAGTTCCTTTATAGCCCAATATTAGCCACCTTTAGCTTAGCGGTGTTGACGTGAAGTCATGTGACCGTGCTGTAGTTTCTTTATAGCCCAACATTAGCCTCCTTTAGCTTAGCGGTGGTGATGTGGTCATGTGACCGTGCTGTAGTTCCTTTATAGCCCAACATTAGCCTCCTTCAGCTTAGCGGTGATGACGTGAAGTCATGTGACCGTGCTGTAGTTCCTTTATAGCCCAACATTAGCCTCCTTTAGCTTAGCGGTGGTGATGTGAAGTCATGTGACCGTGTTGTAGTTCCTTTATAGCCCAACATTAGCCTCCTTCAGCTTAGCGGTGGTGATGTGAAGTCATGTGACCGTGCTGTAGTTCCTTTATAGCTCAACATTAGATTTCTTACTTCAGAAATCATAAAGTGCTGTTAGTATGTGGAGATTATTCTGCTGAACAAAACATCTTAGTATCAAACACTGGCAGTTTCCCTTGCTACCGTCTAAGTGCTAAACTAGGCTAAGCTAAACTAGCAGTCCTGGACACAGAGATGACATTAATAATATCTAAAGTGGAAGAAGAGAGGATTTAGTCAAATGTCAGACAGTGCCTTAAAGTTGAAAGTTATTATTTTATAATTCTAATAATTCATCAGTGCAAACAGTAGTGTGTAGCTTTAGCAGCTAGCTGTAGTTAGCATCCGTGTTGTGAATAAAACAGTGAAGATCATAAAGACTGCAGCTCTCAGTCTTTATGATCCTCTTTGTCTCAGAGGTTTAAACCTTCAGATAATTCATCACAAACACTTACAGTTGTTATAATCCACTAAACAACCTGGACCACTGTATTTCTTTGTTATTGTTAAATCGGTTTAAAAACTTTAAATGGAGAGCTGTTGGAGATGTGTTTATTAAAAAGGAAGTAAAAATAAATCTTTGAATAAGTGTTTTTTAAATGTAAAATATAACAATATTTGGACATTTACGAATAAAAACAGTGTCAAACAGGGTATCAACAGGTTTTAATGGATAATTTGTACAGAAAACATTTATATAAAACTTTAAATAAAAGGTGTCTCGAACCTAACCATTGAAAACGTGTGACCTCCCAACACAGTCTCACGGCATTTCGTGTTATATTCACGAAATGAATCTATTGATTCGTGTTCACCAACACGATTTTCGATAATACAGATTTCAGTATTCTGACACAGAACGATTTTAGAAGCAATGTATTTCTATTGGTAGTATGTTTCGTGCCTGCACCAAATAATAACTCTCTGAGCCCCATTTATTTTCCTCGCGGACGGCAAAAAATCTCCGACATTATACAATTTAAAATAAAAGGGTTAGGCTTAGGCAGTGCTTCTCAAAGTGTGGTCCGCGGACCACTGGTGGTCCGTGAGCGCTCCCTAGTGGTCCGTGAGTATATTGGTAACATTTCACATTTGAAATAAATAAATAAATAAAAGTTTTCCGCACTCTCGCGGGAATATCTCCGCAATGGAGCGCGCTAAAGTTTCACTTTCGATTGCATGATATAGCCCAGCGCAACACCTTCATCACACTTGCTGCCACTTGTTTGTACCATTTTCAGGCGATTTGTAATCTGTTCTAGAAAAACTATGCGATTTTGGATATTTGTGGAGTTAGGTGGTCCGCGAGTGTTTTTTTATTGGTTAAGTGGTCCTTGATGTGAAAAAGTTTGAGAAACACTGGCTTAGGGTAAGATATTGAGTAAGAAAATGTTTTTATGAACCCCACAGCTTCTGGTCTTCCAAGACCCGACCGGACAAAAAGACGTGATGCAGGCACGAAATATACTACCAATAGAAATACATTGCTTTTAAAATCGTTCTGTGTGACACGAAAAAAATGCAAAAATCGTGTTGGTGAACACGAATCAATAGATTAAATTAATTTCGTGACTATAACACGAAATGCCGTGAGACTGGGTTGGATCTACATAATGTCTGAATATTGTTGAACAAAACAATAAGTATTTTCCGTACACTAAATGTGTTTTTAAATGTAAAAAAAAAACATTTTCATTGGGACAATTAATATTCAAATTAATGGATTGTGATGATGTCTTATAACAATTTGCAAATCAAACGTGAAACCATTTAATCCTCAGATCAAAAGTTACTGTGGAGATAATCCATTAAAAACATGAAGATAAATAATACATCATTAATGTTCTAATCAGAGAGTCTGTGACGTTTCTTTAGTAAACCTTAATTGTTCCTATAAAACACAAAGTGGATTTCGCTGCTTTTCTGCAGAGTTTGTCAAAGTCTCATTTCATTTTGTCAGTTTTTGATCCTCTGAGGCTCCCGTAGGTCAGTTCAGGTGACCAACATTTCTGAGACACTTTAACGTCACAGTGGCCATTATAAACATTCAGAAAGAAAGATTAATATTTAAAAACTTCTTTATATAAACCATCTTGTGTTTTCACGTAAAGTTCTCCCAAAAGCAGCATTGAGCAAAAAACCCAATTTTAATCTGAATTTTAATACGCAGAATTGTCATTGTTGGTAAAAAATGTAAACATTACAGAGCCATAAAATGATATTTATATAATTAACTCTGAGATTAAAGTTGTAAATTAATTGAAAAAACGTGTAATTAATTTGAGATTGTGAGATTTTTTTTTCTTCTAAACAACCCCTTGCTTTTTTGGGCGACAATGGACCCACTAAAAGTAGTAGAGATGTTTAAATAATAAATGCGTTAAGTTTTAGTCTGAGTTTTTACATCTGGGTTCAACTTTTCAAAAATGTAGGCAGTTTAAAATGGCCACCGTGTGCAGAGGGTCATGTGACCTGTGCAGAGAGAGCATCACCTCCTCTGATTGGTCAGTCTGCTCTGGAAGGGCCGGACTTTGGACAGGACTTTGTGAGGGGGGGTCGTCATGGTGGTCACGCACTTCGTGTTGGCGGGAAGGGGCATTACCGGGGCGATAGTGACAGTGGGCGGAGTCACAGTGGGTGGGGAAGTTGTGGGTGGGGCTTCTGTTGTTGTTGTTGTTGAGAGGTTGTCTGTCTCCGGGGCAACAGGGTTGGTCAGCGTTGTTTGGATTTCGGCCCGACGAGCGAGAGCCGTTCTCAGCCTTTCACGCATCTGTTCAATCTCTTCCTGAAGCTCCTGTAGCTCGCCGGGACGGGGCGGGGCTACAACTACAGGGGGCGGAGCTACAACGATAGGGGGCGGGGCATTAGTCCGGGCAGCTGATTGTCGGGAGAGCACCAGACTTGCTAGCGACGCCGCCGGACCTCCGTTAGCAACAAGTCTGCTGTTTGGCCCCGTGTTTGGCCCCGTTTTTTGCCCAAATATTGGCCCACATTTTGGCCCCGTGTTTGGTTTGGCAGGCCCCTCCCCCTCAGGTTTGGATTTGGCGTCGGAGGCGGCCATGCGGGCGAGGAGGCGCCGGGTGTTGAGCGTCTCCAGGTGGAAGTGGACTCGTTTGAAGTCTCGCGCATCGTTAGCAACGGCGGCGGCGTCCTCGTTGTTCCACCTGGTCGCAACACCGGGGGGTCCTGGGGGTCCTGGGGGTCCTGGGGGGGGCGTGGGCTTCTCCAGGTTACAGCTGGACACAAACAGAGAGGCCGTTTGTCAAATTAAGTTATTAAGAAACCACTGTCTGAGTAGAAGCTACATTTATATATTTCTTTCTGTCTTTTTAGTGTTGCTCTAACACCCCCCCCCCCCCCTCTGTGGGGTTAACTAAGGTATTCTGATTTAGGATTTATTAACTTGTTTTTTTCCCTGTTTGATTGGACAAAGCCTTCACTACATTTTAAAAACAAATTAAAACCTTTTAAATCAATAATATAATAACGAACCTCTTCTCTTTCTCTGCACGCTGACGCTTCACGTCTTCATACGTCATGTTCAGAGCACGGTGGATTTTCTGTTAAACAGGAAACAAAACATAAATAACTTTTTAATATGATCTGATTCTCATCAACAGAAGCACAGATGTGTTAGTGCATGTAAATGGGCTGCAAAGGCTAAAATCCATGTGTTCCCCAGAGATCCCTCATTTTTTTTTTATATCTCAAAATTCAGTTTTTTTCATAAAATTCTAGCTTTATTCAGAAAATGTCAGAATTCAGACTTTGTTCTCCAAATTATCACTCAAATTTTTCACAAAATCTGACTTATTACTGTACATCTCAGAATTGTGACTGCTTTCTGAAATTGACATTTTTTTCAGAAAATCTCCAAATCCTGTATTTTTCTTGAAATCTGACTTATTTCTGAAAATTTCTAAATTCTGACTTTTTTCAGAAAATTCTCACTTTTACATTTTTTTAATTTAAATTCTCACTTTCTGAGAACTTAAACATTCTGACTTTTAAGTAACATTTCAGAATTCAGATTTTTTTTGGACAAAATTCAAGTAGTTTTTTTCCCAGAGTTGTGACTCCTTAATGAAAATTCTGACTTTTTTGTCAAAATTTAAAATGTTCGACATTTTTTTGTCAAAATCTCCGAATTCTGACTTTTTTTTAAATAATCTGAAAAAGTAATTGTGACATACACCTGAACAGCAGCAGAATAGGGCTTCTGAATCAGTAATCATTATAAATCAGTGATGATTCTGAATCAGTATTTATCTGAGTTACCTGTGAGGTGTGCAGCCAGTACTTGAGGTTCTGCCGGCGCCGGATGTGAGGCAGAACCAGCTGGTAGAACCCGTGTTCCCCGACCAGCGTGAGCAGCGCCCCCCCCACCCCGACACACAGCATCAGGAAGAGGCCCGAGAAGTGGCTGATGCCCATCTGAAGCGTCTGAGGGGGGAACACGTGAGTATCATATATTTAATATAGCATAATAAGATAAGATAGAACTTAATTGATCCCAATTTGGGAAATGTTTGTGTGGCAGCAGCATAAAAGACGTGGCATTGTACAATACAAATTCAAAAGAAAGTAGAAAATATACATGTTGAATTTACAAATTAACAAAAAACAAAACTGTAATGTGATTTATATAATATAATGAATATATGTGAATATATGAATATATGTGTGACAGTCAGCTAGACTGTCGTGTCGAATGATCATATAATCATTTAAAACACAGTCTTATACTCTGATTGCCTTTTACACTGTTAAACTGTATTTTCAGTCTTGCATGTGTTTAACAGAGACAGATGTTAAGGATTTACATTTCAGGAGGCAAAGGAAGTAAAAGGTGGATTTGCAAATGGTTAAGGACGAGGAAGGTTAATGGTTTAATGATGGGATGGAGGAGCAGCTGTTTCCTCTCATGAATACACAGAGAGACTGAAAGCAGAACTTCTTTCTCCTCTGAGGATGAAGCTGCTCTGTTCCTGCATTTCAGATCCATTTCACTTTATTACTTTTATCAGTTTCTCTGAAGAGTTTCCTCCACACTGACCTCGGTGACGGCGAACACGCGGTTTCCACAGGGAACCACTTTGTACCATTTATCGTGCAGAAGATCCATAAAACCCTCAGACTTGTATCTGCTGATCACGTCGGAAATATTGGACGTCAACGGTGAGTTCTGCGGCAGGCCGATACCATAACCTGGAATACATCATAAGCATATATATTATATATAAATAACAACACGCTGATACCATAACCTGGAATACATCATAAGCATATATATTATATATAAATAACAACACGCTGATACCATAACCTGGAGTAAATAGATAAAATAAATATGAAATAAATAATAACAAATATATGCCAAACTACAGGCCCAAAACATAAACCATAATAAATAATAAAAACATGTAATGAATCAAAGTCAGACGGATAACCTGTAATAAACACTTCAAATGAATAATTTGATAACATGACATAAAAGAATATGAACAAGTAATACATACAAAACTCTAATATATATATCACCAAACAACTAGTGTCTCTAGTTAGTGTCTCTAGTTAGTGTCTCTAGTTAGTGTCTCTAGTGTCTCTAGTTAGTGTCTCTAGTTAGTGTCTCTAGTTAGTGTCTCTAGTGTCTCTAGTTAGTGTCTCTAGTTAATGTCTATAGTTAGTGTCTCTAGTTAGTGTCTCTAGTTAGTGTCTCTAGTGTCTCTAGTTAGTGTCTCTAGTTAGTGTCTCTAGTTAATGTCTCTAGTTAGTGTCTCTAGTGTCTCTAGTTAGTGTCTCTAGTTAGTGTCTCTAGTGTCTCTAGTTAGTGTCTCTAGTTAATGTCTCTAGTTAGTGTCTCTAGTGTCTCTAGTTAGTGTCTCTAGTTAATGTCTCTAGTTAGTGTCTCTAGTGTCTCTAGTTAGTGTCTCTAGTTAGTGTCTCTAGTTAGTGTCTCTAGTTAGTGTCTCTAGTTAGTGTCTCTAGTGTCTCTAGTTAGTGTCTCTAGTTAGTGTCTCTAGTTAGTGTCTCTAGTTAGTGTCTCTAGTGTCTCTAGTTAGTGTCTCTAGTTAGTGTATCTAGTTAGTGTCTCTAGTTAGTGTCTCTAGTTAGTGTCTCTAGTGTCTCTAGTTAGTGTCTCTAGTTAGTGTCTCTAGTGTCTCTGGTTAGTGTCTCTAGTTAGTGTCTCTAGTTAGTGTCTCTGGTTAGTGTCTCTGGTTAGTGTCTCTAGTTAGTGTCTCTAGTTAGTGTCTCTAGTGTCTCTAGTTAGTGTATCTAGTTAGTGTCTCTAGTTAGTGTCTCTAGTGTCTATAGTTAGTGTCTCTATTTAGTGTCTCTAGTTAGTGTCTCTAGTTAGTGTCTCTAGTTAGTGTCTCTAGTTAGTGTCTCTAGTTAGTGTCTCTAGTGTCTATAGTTAGTGTCTCTAGTTAGTGTCTCTAGTGTCTCTAGTTAGTGTCTCTGGTTAGTGTCTCTAGTGTCTCTAGTGTCTCTGGTGTCTCTAGTGTCTCTAGTGTCTCTGGTTAGTGTCTCTAGTGTCTCTAGTTAGTGTCTCTAGTTAGTGTCTCTAGTGTCTCTAGTTAGTGTCTCTGGTTAGTGTCTCTAGTTAGTGTCTCTAGTGTCTCTAGTTAGTGTCTCTAGTGTCTCTAGTTAGTGTCTCTAGTTAGTGTCTCTAGTTAGTGTCTCTAGTGTCTCTAGTTAGTGTCTCTGGTTAGTGTCTCTAGTTAGTGTCTCTAGTGTCTCTAGTTAGTGTCTCTAGTGTCTCTAGTTAGTGTCTCTAGTGTCTCTAGTTAGTGTCTCTAGTGTCTCTAGTTAGTGTCTCTAGTGTCTCTAGTTAGTGTCTCTGGTTAGTGTCTCTAGTGTCTCTAGTGTCTCTGGTTAGTGTCTCTAGTGTCTCTAGTTAGTGTCTCTGGTTAGTGTATCTAGTGTCTCTAGTTAGTGTCTCTGGTTAGTGTCTCTAGTTAGTGTCTCTAGTTAGTGTCTCTAGTTAGTGTCTCTAGTTAGTGTCTCTAGTTAGTGTCTCTAGTGTCTCTGGTTAGTGTCTCTAGTTAGTGTCTCTAGTATCTCTGGTTAGTGTCTCTAGTGTCTCTAGTTAGTGTCTCTGGTTAGTGTCTCTAGTTAGTGTCTCTAGTGTCTCTAGTTAGTGTCTCTAGTGTCTCTAGTTAGTGTCTCTAGTTAGTGTCTCTGGTTAGTGTCTCTAGTTAGTGTCTCTAGTGTCTCTAGTTAGTGTCTCTAGTGTCTATAGTTAGTGTCTCTAGTTAGTGTCTCTAGTTAGTGTCTCTAGTTAGTGTCTCTGGTTAGTGTCTCTAGTTAGTGTCTCTAGTGTTTCTAGTTAGTGTCTCTAGTGTCTCTAGTTAGTGTCTCTAGTTAGTGTCTCTAGTGTCTCTGGTTAGTGTCTCTAGTTAGTGTCTCTAGTGTCTCTAGTTAGTGTCTCTAGTTAGTGTCTCTGGTTAGTGTCTCTAGTTAGTGTCTCTAGTGTCTCTAGTTAGTGTATCTAGTGTCTATAGTTAGTGTCTCTAGTTAGTGTCTCTAGTTAGTGTCTCTAGTGTCTCTAGTTAGTGTCTCTAGTTAGTGTCTCTAGTGTCTCTAGTTAGTGTCTCTAGTTAGTGTCTCTGGTTAGTGTCTCTAGTGTCTCTGGTGTCTCTAGTGTCTCTAGTGTCTCTGGTTAGTGTCTCTAGTGTCTCTAGTTAGTGTCTCTAGTTAGTGTCTCTAGTTAGTGTCTCTAGTGTCTCTAGTTAGTGTCTCTAGTGTCTCTAGTTAGTGTCTCTGGTTAGTGTCTCTAGTTAGTGTCTCTAGTGTCTCTAGTTAGTGTCTCTAGTTAGTGTCTCTAGTTAGTGTCTCTAGTGTCTCTAGTTAGTGAATCTAGTTAGTGTCTCTAGTGTCTCTAGTTAGTGTCTCTAGTGTCTCTAGTTAGTGTCTCTAGTATCTCTAGTTAGTGTCTCTGGTTAGTGTCTCTAGTTAGTGTATCTAGTGTCTCTAGTTAGTGTCTCTAGTTAGTGTATCTAGTGTCTCTAGTTAGTGTCTCTAGTGTCTCTAGTTAGTGTCTCTAGTGTCTCTAGTTAGTGTCTCTAGTTAGTGTCTCTAGTGTCTCTAGTTAGTGTCTCTGGTTAGTGTCTCTAGTTAGTGTCTCTAGTGTCTCTAGTTAGTGTCTCTAGTTAGTGTCTCTAGTTAGTGTCTCTAGTGTCTCTAGTTAGTGAATCTAGTTAGTGTCTCTAGTTAGTGTCTCTAGTGTCTCTAGTTAGTGTCTCTGGTTAGTGTCTCTAGTGTCTCTGGTTAGTGTCTCTAGTGTCTCTAGTGTCTCTGGTTAGTGTCTCTAGTGTCTCTAGTTAGTGTCTCTGGTTAGTGTCTCTAGTTAGTGTCTCTAGTGTCTCTAGTGTCTCTAGTTAGTGTCTCTAGTTAGTGTCTCTAGTTAGTGTCTCTGGTTAGTGTCTCTAGTTAGTGTCTCTAGTGTCTCTAGTTAGTGTCTCTAGTTAGTGTCTCTAGTTAGTGTCTCTGGTTAGTGTCTCTAGTTAGTGTCTCTAGTATCTCTGGTTAGTGTCTCTAGTGTCTCTAGTTAGTGTCTCTGGTTAGTGTCTCTAGTTAGTGTCTCTAGTGTCTCTAGTTAGTGTCTCTGGTTAGTGTCTCTAGTTAGTGTCTCTAGTGTCTCTAGTTAGTGTCTCTAGTTAGTGTCTCGAGTGTCTCTGGTTAGTGTCTCTAGTTAGTGTCTCTAGTATCTCTGGTTAGTGTCTCTAGTGTCTCTAGTTAGTGTCTCTAGTGTCTCTAGTTAGTGTCTCTAGTTAGTGTCTCTAGTGTCTCTAGCTAGTGTCTCTAGTTAGTGTCTCTAGTGTCTCTGGTTAGTGTCTCTAGTTAGTGTCTCTAGTTAATGTCTCTAGTTAGTGTCTCTAGTTAGTGTCTCTAGTGTCTCTGGTTAGTGTCTCTAGTGTCTCTAGTTAGTGTCTCTAGTTAGTGTCTCTAGTGTCTCTAGTTAGTGTCTCTAGTTAGTGTCTCTGGTTAGTGTCTCTAGTTAGTGTCTCTAGTTAGTGTCTCTAGTTAGTGTCTCTAGTGTCTCTAGTTAGTGTCTCTAGTTAGTGTCTCTAGTGTCTCTAGTTAGTGTCTCTAGTTAGTGTCTCTAGTTAATGTCTCTAGTGTCTCTAGTGTCTCTAGTGTATCTAGTTAGTGTCTCTAGTTAGTGTCTCTAGTTAGTGTCTCTAGTGTCTCTAGTTGGTGTCTCTAGTTAGTGTCTCTAGTTAATGTCTCTAGTGTCTCTAGTTAGTGTCTCTAGTGTCTCTAGTTAGTGTTTCTAGTTAGTGTATCTAGTGTCTCTAGTTAGTGTCTCTAGTTAGTGTCTCTAGTGTCTCTAGTTAGTGTCTCTAGTGTCTCTAGTTAGTGTCTCTGGTTAGTGTCTCTAGTTAGTGTATCTAGTTAGTGTATCTAGTTAGTGTCTCTAGTTAGTGTATCTAGTTAGTGTCTCTAGTGTCTCTAGTTAGTGTCTCTAGTGTCTCTAGTTAGTGTCTCTAGTTAGTGTCTCTAGTGTCTCTAGTTAGTGTCTCTAGTTAATGTCTCTAGTTAGTGTCTCTAGTGTCTCTAGTTAGTGTCTCTAGTTAATGTCTCTAGTTAGTGTCTCTAGTTAGTGTCTCTGGTTAGTGTCTCTGGTTAATATATCTAGTTAATGTCTCTAGTTAGTGTTTCTGGTTAATGTCTCTAGTTAATGTCTCTAGTTAGTGTCTCTAGTTAGTGTCTCTAGTGCCTCTAGTGTCTCTAGTTAGTGTCTCTAGTTAATGTCTCTAGTTAGTGTCTCTAGTTAATGTCTCTAGTTAGTGTTTCTGGTTAGTGTCTCTAGTTAGTGTTTCTGGTTAATGTCTCTAGTTAGTGTCTCTAGTTTGTGTCTCTAGTTAATGTCTCTAGTTAGTGTTTCTGGTTAATGTCTCTAGTTAATGTCTCTAGTTAGTGTCTCTAGTTAGTGTCTCTAGTTAGTGTCTCTAGTTAGTGTCTCTGGTTAATATATCTAGTTAATGTCTCTAGTTAGTGTCTCTAGTGTCTCTAGTTAGTGTCTCTAGTTAGTGTCTCTAGTTAATGTCTCTAGTTAGTGTCTCTAGTGTCTCTAGTTAGTGTCTCTAGTTAGTGTCTCTAGTGTCTCTAGTTAGTGTCTCTAGTTAATGTCTCTAGTTAGTGTCTCTAGTGTCTCTAGTTAGTGTCTCTAGTTAATGTCTCTAGTTAGTGTCTCTAGTGTCTCTAGTTAGTGTCTCTAGTTAGTGTCTCTAGTTAATGTCTCTAGTGTCTCTAGTGTCTCTAGTGTATCTAGTTAGTGTCTCTAGTTAGTGTCTCTAGTTAGTGTCTCTAGTGTCTCTAGTTGGTGTCTCTAGTTAGTGTCTCTAGTTAATGTCTCTAGTGTCTCTAGTTAGTGTCTCTAGTGTCTCTAGTTAGTGTTTCTAGTTAGTGTATCTAGTGTCTCTAGTTAGTGTCTCTAGTTAGTGTCTCTAGTGTCTCTAGTTAGTGTCTCTAGTGTCTCTAGTTAGTGTCTCTGGTTAGTGTCTCTAGTTAGTGTCTCTAGTTAGTGTATCTAGTTAGTGTCTCTAGTTAGTGTATCTAGTTAGTGTCTCTAGTGTCTCTAGTTAGTGTCTCTAGTGTCTCTAGTTAGTGTCTCTAGTTAGTGTCTCTAGTTAATGTCTCTAGTTAGTGTCTCTAGTTAGTGTCTCTGGTTAGTGTCTCTGGTTAATATATCTAGTTAATGTCTCTAGTTAATGTCTCTAGTTAGTGTCTCTAGTTAGTGTCTCTAGTGCCTCTAGTGTCTCTAGTTAGTGTCTCTAGTTAATGTCTCTAGTTAGTGTCTCTAGTTAATGTCTCTAGTTAGTGTTTCTGGTTAGTGTCTCTAGTTAGTGTTTCTGGTTAATGTCTCTAGTTAGTGTCTCTAGTTTGTGTCTCTAGTTAATGTCTCTAGTTAGTGTTTCTGGTTAATGTCTCTAGTTAATGTCTCTAGTTAGTGTCTCTAGTTAGTGTCTCTAGTTAGTGTCTCTAGTTAGTGTCTCTGGTTAATATATCTAGTTAATGTCTCTAGTTAGTGTCTCTAGTGTCTCTAGTTAATGTCTCTAGTTAGTGTCTCTAGTTAGTGTTTCTGGTTAATGTCTCTAGTTAATGTCTCTAGTTAGTGTCTCTAGTTAATGTCTCTAGTTAGTGTCTCTAGTTAGTGTCTCTGGTTAATATATCTAGTTAATGTCTCTAGTTAGTGTCTCTAGTGTCTCTAGTTAATGTCTCTAGTTAGTGTCTCTAGTTAGTGTTTCTGGTTAATGTCTCTAGTTAATGTCTCTAGTTAGTGTCTCTAGTTAGTGTTTCTGGTTATTGTATCTAGTTAATGTCTCTAGTTAGTGTTTCTGGTTAATGTGTCAGAGGTAGACTCACCTTCGATGGCGAATGGTTTCCCAACGGTTGCCAGTTTACAGTCGGCGTCGATGGAGACCTCGTAATCCAGCAGAGCTTTATCCATGATGAAGGCATCGAGCTGGGGGGGATCTGTCCTTCAACACACAGCAACACCGTTACTATGGCAACTACAGAGAGCAACAACTACTGCAACTACAGACAACAACTACTGCAACTATAGAGGAACTACTGCAACTAGAGGAACTACAGCAACTAGAGAGGAACTACTGCAACTAGAGGAACTACAGCAACTAGAGAGGAACTACTGCAACTACAGACAACAACTACTGCAACTAGAGAGGAACTACTGCAACGAGAGGAACTACAGCAACTATAGAGGAACTACTGCAACTAGAGAGGAACTACAGCAACTAGAGAGGAACTACTGCAACTAGAGGAACTACTGCAACGAGAGGAACTACAGCAACTAGAGAGGAACTACTGCAACTAGAGAGGAACTACAGCAACTAGAGAGGAACTACTGCAACTAGAGGAACTACTGCAACTAGAGAGGAACTACTGCAACTAGAGAGGAACTACAGCAACTAGAGAGGAACTACAGCAACTAGAGAGGAACTACAGCAACTAGAGAGGAACTACTGCAACTAGAGAGGAACTACAGCAACTAGAGAGGAACTACTGCAACTAGAGAGGAACTACTGCAACTAGAGAGGAACTACTGCAACTAGAGAGGAACTACAGCAACTAGAGAGGAACTACTGCAACTAGAGAGGAACTACTGCAACTAGAGAGGAACTACAGCAACTAGAGAGGAACTACAGCAACTCTGTGGTTCTCTGTAGTTCTCTGTGGTTTTCTGTAGTTCTCTGTAGTTCTCTGTAGTTCTCTGTGGTTCTCTTACTTGAGATTGCCGACCCCCTCAGGCGTCGTCGGCTCGTTGAAGCGTCTCATGTACTCGTGCATTTCTGGAAAACTCTTCTTCATGTAATCCTCGGCGCTGCTCTCCCTCACCGTCCCAAAGCGAAACCCCCGAGACGGGTGGTGCAGCTGAAACACCAACGAAGAAGAAGAAGAGGAGGAGAGATGATGATTAACAGACCTCATATATCAGCGTCAGAAACAGTGAACACTTCTCTGAGTAAATATTGTTCTGATGCGTGATGCTTTTATTCAGGGAGAAATATAACGTGTTTATTCCCCGCTTAATATTCCTGCTGTGTTTAAAGTATTCATGAAATAAACAACCTATGAAAAATGATGTTGACGTGAGAATAAATTCAGGAAGAAGCCCCCCCGGTGTGAGGAGGAGCCTCTCAGCTCTACATGAACATATTAACATGTGTTTAAAATGCACTGACAATGTACAGCGCTAACAGAGAGCTGTGCTAACTGGAGAGGTACTCATATCCTTCACCGAAGTAAAAGTACAATTATTATTGTCTTAAGTCCTGATTTCACAACATTATTTAAAGGTCACCTATCATGCTATTTGTAGGCAATAGCATAGGTCTCAGATATATAAATATATATAAAAAACATGTCTATGAAGTGTTTTGCTCCAAACACCAAACAGATCATTCTAGCCATGCCTCATGTCCCTCTATTCCACTTCCTGTTTCTAAAGTGCTGATTTGGGTATAAAGCTTTAAAGAGGAGGGGTCTGAGCTCATGCGGGACCCGGCAGCTACTGTCTAAACTAAATGCTGCCGTGATGAAACGCCATATCATGGATTATCAAGGATTCTCTCTGAAACAGTCTGGAGCTCAAAGGCTTTCTCTCTTGCCGGTTATACCACAAGGTGAGTTCCTTTTTACTTCCTGCTTCTTCACACACATGCTCTCCAGTACAGGTTAGCTCTGAGTGTTAGCGATGCTAATGTAAACACCGACCATATTACGTCCAAAACAGTCGGGCATTGTTTCTGATAGCAACGTTTCTGATTGGGCCGTGGGTCCACATTTCAGATATTACGTCATATCGGACGCAATCAGCTCCGATCAGCTCCGTTGTTCCCCGTTTTTAGAGATTTGGGTACGGAGGAAAAGAGAGAGGGTTTTATTTCCTGACGCTGCGTGAGTTCTCCGACACACCGGGGACACATGTTGATGTAGAAAAGATATCAAAAAATGCATTTTGCATGATAGGAGACCTTTAAGTAAAAGTACAAGCATTAAAATGTATTTAAAGTACAAGTGAAAGTACCAAATCTGCACAATGGCCAATTTCATAATAACATAAAGAAGTATTATCAGCTAAATGAAGCAGGAGGACTGGCTCTATGTTCAGTCACTCCTCAGCTGCATTAATCAGCTCATCATTCTCTTTTAACCAATTAGATGTCACCACAATCTCCAGCAGCCAATCATCGTGCTGCAGTCAACATTTAAAATGGTTCTCCTCTCTCCTGCGGTCAGCTGTGAATTCAGGTGTTCATGCGTTCACCAAAGACTATCAACATTGTGAACAAATGTTCTTTAAGCAAAAAACTGAGGCTCTCCTGATTGAAATGTTCTTCAAGTATCAAAGCTAAAGTACTCATTGTGCAGACTTCTTTATTTCATCCTGTTTTAAACCTGTAAGAGCATTTTAGTATTATAGTTGGTCAATGTGGACCCAACTTAGTCACTTCAAATACTGTGTAGTTAAGTATCATATCATGTGTTTATGTGTACAGAGTAACTGTTAATGCTAAATACAGTAAATGTAGTTAAATGTACAATATTGCCTCTTAAATGTAGAGGAGAAGAAGTATAAGGTAGCAATAAATGGAAATACTCAAGTAAAGTACAAATACCTCAAAAAAGTACTTAAGTACATACTGCAGTTATGGTCTGTAGCTGTGTGTATGCATTAAAAATAATGTAGTTTTGAAATATTTCTGAACCGTGACTGGAGGGAGCAGAGTTTCTGCTGTCTCTACACATTAAAAATTAAAAGCTAATCACATACAGATGGACGTCCAATTAAAGTCCCAGCAGCCCCGGCTCAGCGCCTCCATTAAAAGTGTAATTAGGACTCTGCAGGTTATCCAGAGAACACTTTTAATCTGTAATTACATCTCAGCAGGAAGAGAGAGATCTGACGTTTCTATCAGCGACCTCTTATACCAAATAATATATTATCATTCTGCTGTTTGGTGATGTCACAACTGATCAGCCAATAGCAAGGAGGACTCAGATCTTAAGTTAAAGTAGAAGTACTCAGATCTCGTACTTGAGTAAAAGTAGAAGTACTCAAAGAGAGAGGGTTTTATTTTCGGACACCGGGGACGTAGGGATGTAACAATACCAAAAACTCACGGTACGATAATATCGCGATAACAAGTCCACGGTACGGTATTTATCACGATATTGAATAATAAAGGGGGGGGGGGGAATCTGATTTGTACAGCATGTTAGGATAGCAGTATTTTAAAGTGTCAAAAACAAAGTGACAGTAACAGACTGGAACAAGATAACCAGTGTTTTTGTACCTATAGTACTACCAAACAAAGTAGGCATTTTCTTTGTGCCACTGCATCTCACAAATAAACAAGGACATTTAATAATCAGACCCTGCAATAAAATAAATCAAGTTTCACTTTAGTTTTTCAAGTAACTCAACTCAAACTCACGAGTCACTCACTCAGCATCATCAGACAGGTTTTTAGGAATATGAGAATGTCCACATTTCCAGGTATTTATAAGCTGGGATGTTTGGGCATTTACAATATCCCCTGCTCTGGAAACAACTCTCTCGCTTGGTACTGGTGTTGCTGGGACAGCAGTGGTCGCGTTAACCGAATATTTTATTTAACAATGACGGAAAATTCTGAAAGCAGTCTGTCATTTTGACAGATTAGAAGAAACTCGGAACAGCGCCAACGTTTCCCCGCAGCGCGGCTCTGGTGTTATGCATGCCCTCCAAAAGGAAATGATATAGTTTCCAAACCGTACAGATCAATACATGTCTGGAAGGTTTTGCTTTACGCTGTGTGCGCTCCCGCGAGGTGCATGCACACACGGCATAACACCGCCCCCCCCCCCCCCCGTTGACAGTTCACGAGCGTGCTCTCTTGTGAACTGTTCAGACCCGACGGGTCAAAATGACGGACAGCGAAAATGTCTAACGCCACCTCAGTGGGACAGAGAGATATGCTTTGGCCATGGGTGACAGCAGTGGGTCAAACTGTGCATTGTCTCTCCACCACTTCAACAACAATACAGTTTTTGCCAAGAAGGTGAGGCTTATTGACAGAGATATAAATATACTGTTGGTACTTGTCAATGTCTCTAGGTGTGTACTTGTAGCCTGTAAATACCATGTCCTTTTGTGTTCTGTTGTTTTATGTTCATGTTGTAACCTACTTGCTGCCATGTTGGACAGGTCTCCCTTGAAAAAGGAATCGATGATATCAATGGGACCATCTGGTTAAATAAAGGTTTAAAACAAAAAAAAGTGTTTAAAAAAAATAAATCTTTTTTTAAAGATTAATTTTTTTTTAAATCGCGGTAGATTTTGTCAGTCTCACGACGGTATTGGGACGTTTATTTACCGCGATATTCGGTATATCGTTACATCCCTACATATTTATATATAAAAGAAATCAAAAAGTGCATTTTGCAGGATAGGTCCCCTTTAAAGAGTTTCTGAGGTCTCACCTTGGCGTCGTGGATCCCTGACACCTCCTCGAAGGTCTTCTCTCCCACCATGACGGCGGCCAGGTTCGCCGTGTAGCTGGACAGCACCAGCAGGCAGAAGATGGCCCACAGGTTCATCAGGAATCGACTCGTCCAGCACTTCGGCGGCTTGGAGGACACGGTGCGTCCGAACAGGATGGCGTAGCACAGGTTCAGCGCCGACGAGTACGAGAACACTCTGATTCTGTTCCTCCCGTGAGGCGTCATCCCGTACGGACTCTTCCACTCGTACAGCGTGAGGAACAGCGCTGTGATGTGCAGCGCCACGAAGATCCCCACCCACATGGACCAGTGCAAGGGCCACATGAAGGCCCCCATGGGTGCCGCTGTGTCTTTACTACGCACCAGGATGCCCAGGCTGGTGGAGAAGAAGGGCGAGGTGAAGTCGATGACGCGACTACGAGCTGAGTTGATGCTAAAAGAAGTGGCGGCCATATCTGCCAAACCATTCATCAAATCGCCAACCAGCCCCGTCCAGCGACCTCCTTTCCACGCGCCGTATTTTCCATCTCCGACGACATACAAGTCAAACTGGAAGTCCAAATCCTCTGCAAGTTTCTCCAACAAGTCGATGCAGTAACCGTAGCAGCATCGTCCGAATCCAGCGGGTAAAAAGCTGCTGTTTCCTCCTGCAACCTCCCTGAAGATCCGCTCCAGAACCTCAGAGCTGTTTGTCCCCGCGTTCAAACAGAACTGACCCGCCGGACAGCTCCCCTCCTCGTCCACATCCCGCGTGAACACGAAGGGATGCTCCACCAGCGTCACCACCCGGACTCTGGTACCAGATACTGGTAACCCGGGTTTCCAGGGGGTTCTGAAGAGATACAGAGTACACACATCCTTTACCCAAGTAGAAGTACATACATCCTTTACTCAAGTAGAAGTACATACATCCTTTACCCAAGTAGAAGTACATACATCCTTTACTCAAGTAGAAGTACATACATCCTTTACTCAAGTAGAAGTACATACATCCTTTACTCAAGTAGAAGTACATACATCCTTTACTCAAGTAGAAGTACACACATCCTTTACTCAAGTAGAAGTACATAATCCTTTACTCAAGTAGAAGTACATAATCCTTTACTCAAGTAGAAGTACATACATCCTTTACTCAAGTAGAAGTACACACATCCTTTACTCAAGTAGAAGTACACACATCCTTTACTCAAGTAGAAGTACATAATCCTTTACTCAAGTAGAAGTACATAATCCTTTACTCAAGTAGAAGTACAGATACTCGTGTTTAAAAATTCTCTGGTAAAAGTAGAAGTACTGACTAAACTTATTTCCTCAAGTCAAAGTAAAGAGGCTTTGAAGTGTACTTCAGTAAAAAGTACCCATAACTAGCAGCTGCTTTAAAGAGTACCTGACCTCCCTTTATATTCATAGAACAATAATGTCATTGTTAGCTAATGAATGTTTCCATGCTGAACAACGGCAACATGACAACGTTTCCATTGGTCCCTCTTCTTTAGAGAAGACCAGGAAATGATGGATACACGGATCGTGTTCAAATCAATAGGCACGCAATGACTCTAAAGAATAATGATCACGCATCAAACACACATTCAGACTAAAGGAACCAGCTGTTTGGGAAATGAGAGAAGTAGAAAGTACAGGTATTTGAGTTCAACATGTAAGAAGTAGAAAGTACAGGTATTTGAGTTCAACATGTAAGAAGAAGAAAGTACAGGTATTTGAGTTCAACATGTGAGAAGTAGAAAGTACAGGTATTTGAGTTCAACATGTAAGAAGTAGAAAGTACAGGTATTTGAGTTCAACATGTGAGAAGTAGAAAGTACAGGTATTTGGGTTCAACATGTAAGAAGTAGAAAGTACAGGTATTTGGGTTCAACATGTAAGAAGAAGAAAGTACAGGTATTTGTGTTCAACATGTGAGAAGTAGAAAGTACAGGTATTTGAGTTCAACATGTAAGAAGTAGAAAGTACAGGTATTTGAGTTCAACATGTGAGAAGTAGAAAGTACAGGTATTTGGGTTCAACATGTGAGAAGTAGAAAGTACAGGTATTTGAGTTCAACATGTAAGAAGTAGAAAGTACAGGTATTTGGGTTCAACATGTAAGAAGTAGAAAGTACAGGTATTTGAGTTCAACATGTGAGAAGTAGAAAGTACAGGTATTTGAGTTCAACATGTAAGAAGTAGAAAGTACAGGTATTTGAGTTCAACATGTAAGAAGTAGAAAGTACAGGTATTTGGGTTCAACATGTGAGAAGTAGAAAGTACAGGTATTTGAGTTCAACATGTAAGAAGTAGAAAGTACAGGTATATGTGTTCAACATGTAAGAAGTAGAAAGTACAGGTATTTGAGTTCAACATGTAAGAAGTAGAAAGTACAGGTATTTGTGTTCAACATGTAAGAAGTAGAAAGTACAGGTATTTGAGTTCAACATGTAAGAAGTAGAAAGTACAGGTATTTGGGTTCAACATGTAAGAAGTAGAAAGTACAGGTATTTGAGTTCAACATGTAAGAAGTAGAAAGTACAGGTATTTGGGTTCAACATGTAAGAAGTAGAAAGTACAGGTATTTGTGTTCAAATGAGAGAAGTAGAAAGTACAGGTATTTGAGTTCAACATGTAAGAAGTAGAAAGTACAGGTATTTGGGTTCAACATGTAAGAAGTAGAAAGTACAGGTATTTGAGTTCAACATGTAAGAAGTAGAAAGTACAGGTATTTGAGTTCAACATGTAAGAAGTAGAAAGTACAGGTATTTGGGTTCAACATGTAAGAAGTAGAAAGTACAGGTATTTGAGTTCAACATGTAAGAAGTAGAAAGTACAGGTATTTGGGTTCAACATGTAAGAAGTAGAAAGTACAGGTATTGTGTTCAAAATGAGAAAGTAGAAGTACAGGTATTTGAGTCAACATGTAAGAAGTAGAAAGTACAGTATTGGGTTCAAACATGTAAGAAGTAGAAAGTACAGGTACTTGGGTCTCAACATGTAAGAAGTAGAAAGTTACCAGGTATTGAGTTCAACATGTAAGAAGTAGAAAGTACAGGTATTTGGGTTCAACATGTAAGGAAGTAGAAAGTACAGGTATTTTGTGTTCAAAATGAGAGAAGTAGAAAGTACAGGTATTTGAGTTCAACATGTAGAAGTAGAAAGTACAGGTATTTGAGTTCAACATGTAGAAGTAGAAAGTACAGGTATTTGTGTTCAACATGTAAGAAGTAGAAAGTACAGGTATTTGAGTTCAACATGTAAGAAGTAGAAGTACAGGTATTTGGGTTCAAAATGTAAGAAGTAGAAAGTACAGGTATTTGTGATTCAAAGAAGAAGTAGAAAGTACAGTATTTGAGTTCAACATGTAAGAAGTAGAAAGTACAGGTATTTGGTTCAACATGAAGTAAGAAGTAGAAAGTACAGGTATTTGGAGTTCAACATGTAAGAAGTAGGAAAGTACAGGTATTTTGTGTTCACACATGTAAGAAGTAGAAAGTACAGGTATTTGTGTTCAACATGTAAGAAGTAGAAAGTACAGCTATTTGAGTTCAACATGTAAGAAGTAGAAAGTACAGGTATTTGTGTTCAACATGTAAGAAGTAGAAAGTACAGGTATTTGAGTTCAACATGTAGAAGTAGAAAGTTCAGGTATTTGGGTTCAACATGTAAGAAGTAGAAAGTACAGGTATTTGTGTTCAACATGTAAGAAGTAGAAAGTACAGGTATTTGGGTTTCAACATGTAAGAAGTAGAAAGTACAGGTATTTGGTTTCAACATGTAAGAAGTAGAAAGTACAGGTATTTGGGTTCAACATGTAAGAAGTAGAAAGTACAGGTATTTGGGTTCAACATGTAAGAAGTAGAAAGTACAGGTATTTGGGTTCAACATGTAAGAAGTAGAAAGTACAGGTATTTGGGTTCAACATGTAAGAAGTAGAAAGTACAGGTATTTGTGTTCAACATGTAAGAAGTAGAAAGTACAGGTATTTGGTTTCAACATGTAAGAAGTAGAAAGTACAGGTATTTGGTTTCAACATGTAAGAAGTAGAAAGTACAGGTATTTGTGTTCAACATGTAAGAAGTAGAAAGTACAGGTATTTGTGTTCAACATGTGAGAAGTAGAAAGTACAGGTATTGTGTTCAACATGTAAGAAGTAGAAAGTACAGGTATTTGGTTCAACATGTTAAGAAGTAGAAAGTAAGGTATTTGAGTTCAACATGTAAGAAGTAGAAAGTACAGGTATTTGGGTTCAACATGTAAGAAGTAGAAAGTACAGGTATTTGGGTTCAACATGTAAGAAGTAGAAAGTACAGGTATTTGGGTTCAACATGTAAGAAGTAGAAAGTACAGGTATTTGAGTTCAACATGTAAGAAGGGGGGTTATATTGAGGTCACATGTTAAGAAGTAAAGTACAGGTATTTGAGTTCAACATGTAAGAAGTAGAAAGTACAGGTATTTGAGTTCAACATGTGAGAAGTAGAAAGTACAGGTATTTGAGTTCAACATGTAAGAAGTAGAAAGTACAGGTATTTGAGTTCAACATGTGAGAAGAAGAAAGTACAGGTATTTGAGTTCAACATGTGAGAAGTAGAAAGTACAGGTATTTGTGTTCAACATGTAAGAAGTAGAAAGTACAGGTATTTGAGTTCAACATGTAAGAAGTAGAAAGTACAGGTATTAGTATTCAACATGTAAGAAGTAGAAAGTACAGGTATTTGTGTTCAACATGTAAGAAGTAGAAAGTACAGGTATTTGAGTTCAACATGTGAGAAGTAGAAAGTACAGGTATTAGTATTCAACATGTAAGAAGTAGAAAGTACAGGTATTTGTGTTCAACATGTGAGAAGTAGAAAGTACAGCTATTTGAGTTCAACATGTAAGAAGTAGAAAGTAAAAAGTCTATAAGAGTATTTGTACTCCACTACTTCCCACCTCTGACGGTAGGAAATGGTATAGTACACTTCCTAGATGTCTAAATGTAAGAAGTAAAAATAAAAGGTCTATAAGAATCAGAATCAGAATCAGAAACAGAAACAGGTTTATCACCAGGTAGGTTCACAAGGAATTTGACTTGATGTCGTGGTGCAGACATAAAAACAAAAATGTAAAAAAGAACACAGATAGTTAACCATATTAAGAACACTGTAATACAAATATTGTAAGATAGCAATAAAATAAAGCAGTAATTTTCATTGAAATAGAATGCAATAAAATATAGAATATAAAATGTGTGCAGTAATCAAGGTAATAAGAGTATTTGTACTGCACTCCTTCCCACCTCTGTGTTCTGGCGCCCCCTCCCTCAGGTCTGGGGGGGGGTCTGGGTCCCTGCCAGGCGCCCTGCTCCTCCACCTGGAGACGCCCCCCCCTCCCAGCGTCCCACCGTCACCCAGGCCGGCTGCCCCACTGCATCCCTCCGGAGGCTCCAGACGTGGAACCGCTGATCCGTGAGCACCTGGTTCTGAAGGACCCGGACCGGACCCGTCAGACCGGTGAAGGACGTGTTGGAGAGGAAGCTGTGGGGGACAGGAAGAACAGGTAGTGACGAGTAAAAGTAGAAGTATTGGGATCTTATATTTTATCCCATTCTATTTAAATGTAAATACTGCTTTACTTTATTTTACTATATTTTTCTAATTGTTTTATGTTATTATAGTGTTCTTAAGAAAGTAGTGTTTTTTAATTTTAGTTTTAAGTCAAATTCCTAGTACGTGTAACCTACCTGGTAATAACCCTGATTCTGATTCTGATATTGTACTTGAGTAAAAGTAGAAGTACTCAGAGCATGTACTTGGGTAAAAGTAGAAGTACTCAGATCTTGTACTTGAGTAAAAGTAGAAGTACTCAGATCTTGTACTTGAGTAAAAGTAGAAGTACTAACGTTACTACTGTTAATGTTAATTTGTATAATTTTTGTATTTTATTGTATCTTTTACATATTTTTAACTAGCATGATAACATTATTGTTTTAACTGGCGGTAAAACACCTGTCTGAAAATGAGCTGATCAGATTTTGGCCACTTTATGATGTCATAACGATGTTTAGTCTTGTGTAACCATTAGCCAATCAGCAACCAAGGTAACCCCCCCCCCCTTATCACCTGAATCTCCTCCTAGAGCTCCATTGAGTTCTTTGTAATCAAATGTCTCTCAGAGGGGCGTGGGGAGGGGCTCCTTATTTTCATCTACAGTAACAGACAGAGAATCAGCACTTTGGAAACAGGGCTGAAACAGAGGGGATTATGGGTAGTGCTGCAATGATCTGTTTGGTGTTTCAGCCAATCAGAGACAGGCTCTGGATATATCTGAGACCTGTGATGTATTGATGAGAAACAGGATGATAGGGGACCTTTAATCTTTACTTGAGTAAAGAAGTGTACAGTACTTCAACTCCTCAGAGTAGTTTTAAACACAAGTATCTGTACTTCCACTTGACTGAAGGACGTGTGTTTTGTGAGAGATCTGACGCAGGACTTACGTCACGGTGAGAGTTCAGCCTGTGGTTTCAGTTATTGATGAACTCTGTTTGTGATCAGAAGTCTGTCGGCAATCTTTATTTCATCTTTATTCCCCGTGCACTCTGTCTCTGCTTTTGTTCTCCTGCTGATAATCCCCCCCGAGCGTTTTATCTCTCGCTGTAATTTCATTTACTGTGAATGTGTTTGATCTTTTCCCGTCTGCGCTGACAGCAGCAGTTAAATCTTTTTATCCCCCCGAAAAACCTGCAGCACGACTTCTGTCTGTCAAAACTCTGCTGCGTGTTACCAAAGAGTTCATGTTTACTGCAGATTGAAATGCCTGAGATTTGAATGTTTACTTCAGGT